GCAAACAAGCAACAGTGGCCGAGAAGCATCCTGATGGCTCCTTTTGTTTCTCTTTGATTTAAAGCCTCAAACCTGTAATCTAATTAACATCGAACTGAGTTGCAAGTACAGTGGCCTGTTTGGTTCAATAATAATACATTTTTATGAAAGGTTAATGAAATGAATTTTCCTTCCATCCAATTCATTAAAAATTGTTCCACAATCAACGGTTGCTAATGGAATAGAGATTAAATATTCACGTTCATAAATTTTCTGTGTCATTTCTGATTTTCCTTCATTTCTGCCTCCATAGGTTGAATTTTACAAGTGCAAGAATTCCCAGACAAAAGGCTTGATTTAGAGGTTAATTGCATTCCATTAATTTTTTTTAATCAGAGAGAGAATGTGGAATAGCAGAAAGAGTTTGGCAGTAGGTTTGTCTCTTTGTAGCTGGATGATTTGGAGCAGGTTTCGTAATCACCTCTATTTTGCAGTAGTCATCAGAAGAACTTCTCGCAGAATATTGAGAGGGTTAATGATAAACTATGGGAAGCACCCACTACAGGGTTGGCACAGATAGTAGTTCAACAAATGATAGCTGGGAAAGGCTTTGGAAAATAAAACACATACATATATGCACTAAGACTCATGATACTGTGCAGTACAGGATGGGTATTGTGAGACGGGGTTCTTGTTGATTCTAAGATAGGTATCAGGACATCTTGTAGTAATTCTAATACGTGTTTTAGGAAGGACGCTGAGAGGAAGGGCTGTTTCATGTTTCGACAAATACATTTTTGTCTTCTTTTCCATGTAGGCCCAAGAATCTTATTTATTTATTTATTTTTTAAAATATATTTTATTGATTTTTCATAGAGAGGAAGGGAAAGAGATAGAGAGTTAGAAACGTCGATGACAGAGAAACACCGACCAGCTGCCTCTTGCACACCCCCTACTGGGGATGTGCCCGCAACCCAGATACATGCCCTTAACCGGAATCGAACCTGGGACCTTCCAGTCCGCAGACCGATGCTCTACCACTGAGCCAAACCGGTTTCGGCCCAAGAACCTTATTTAATCTGGGTAATAGGTAGTTATCTTCTTGCTGTGTCCTTACGCAGTGGAAGAAGAGAGAGGGCTTCCTGGGGTCTCCTTTTTAAGGGCACTAATCCCATTCAGAGGGCTACACCCTCATGACCTAATCCCCTAAAGCCCCACCTCTAAAGACCATTCTATTGAGGATTAAGTTTCAACATACTAATTTTGGAAGGACACACACATTTAATCTATGGCAACCTCTCTGAGGTGAGAATGGACACTCAATAAAGAACAAATACCGACAGTTTTAACAACAGGCATAAATACTTCAGTCATCTGTTACATTTTTATTATTGCTTACGTATTACAAAATCTTACTAGCAGCTCTACAGGTAGCAGTCAATATATTTACAGCTTTTTATATTCTTCCCTTCTCGATTGTGAGCACATTGAGAGCACGCGTCCTCTGTTTTATGGCGCCTGGCGCTGTAGATTTTTAGGGAATATTAATTGAAGAAGGAAGGAACTTGTAACACAGTTGAATTTGTGAGGCGACAATTCAGTGTCATGTGTGGAATGATCACTGAGGGTTTTTGTGGGGAGCAACAAAAAACAAATGAATGACTCTGGAACACTTGAAAATCTACCTTTAGTCCAGTGTGCTAACCAGCTCCCTATACGCTTCTCTTCTTGGCTAAAGCTTCAGGTTAAAACCGTTGTTCTCAGGGCAGAGGTGCTCTTGATGGCCAATTCATGTTGCCTTTCTTTCTCCAACTGCCACATAACCAGTGACCAGGATGTGGTGTATGTGTGTGGGGAGGGGTGCGTAGGCAGGGGAAATATATTCTGAGGTTGGCTGGGCACCGAGCGTTTAATATTGCTTCCTTCGGCATGCTGCACATATATTGCCTCTGCTCAATCCTGAGTGATCAAAATGTCCCCCTCTCCCAGATGAAGCGGCTTCCTGGGAGACCTCTGATTCTGAGGAAGAGAAAAATTAGTAGCGGGAATCAATAGGGTGAAGCAGATAGGCTAGAGCAGATTACATCAGTTTTCTTGAAGCAGCTGTGACTCTCGGCTGCCTTGGAAGAGGCTGACAGAGGACCCTGTGGGTGGCTGCTGCATCTCCCAAGGCCTGATAGTGCCATTTCTCCTCGTGGGTGGTTCCGGCTTTGGTCCAGGAGCCTACTACAGTGGGTTTCCCAGTTGCCAGTAGTCTTTTATGGAGCAAAGAGAGGAGCAAATGGAGCAGCGATAGGAATTGAATAATACACTGAATAGTAAAATATCTGTTGGATTTCTTACATTCTGTTGGTTTGTAATTATGTGTTCTGATTAAGGTTCTTTTCTTATTTCACTAATCAAAATAGCTAATTCTGTTGAATACTTTTGTCAGGCACTGTGCTGAATTCTTCTTATTCTGTTACATTAACGCACAATCTAGGTTATATTATCATCCACTTGAACTTTATAGTGGCATACCTCTCACAGAAGTATCAAAAACTAATTTTTACTCAGCTATTTGCACATGCAATGAATATTGCATGGAAAGAAGTCGGGAGAGCCCTCCTCTGAGTTGGGAACAGGGGTTTGGCAGAGTTTGGCTTCTTATGTTTCTTGGCAGGGGTATAAACTTAGCTTGTGACTGAGAAAAATCATGTGAAGCCGGGTTAGCGATTGTGAAAGGGGATGAGGGAGGACTAACTGAGGCCTTTGAGAGCCTTCTCTACCTCTTTTCAAAATCTTCCCCCAAAGGAAGGAAGCCATGATTGTGGGTGACATGGCTCAGCCATACCTTTTCTCATCTAATTAGTGAGTGTCCTATGAAAACAAAATGTGCACACCCACATTTAACTGCCGTGTGAACTTGATACCATACTGGCATTTAACACAACTTCATCTTACGAAAAAGTAAATATATCCCATTTTTCAATGATTTCTGTCGGCAGGCAGGAAAGTCAGTTGTTCTCTCAGTGAAGTAATGAATGATAAAGTTTGGCTCTAAATAAGCAAGAAATTATCAAAAGCCATTGCTATTAAGATTATTGTGTATTCTTAGTTTTAATGAGATACCAGTGACACACAGCATTGAATAGATTTACGTTATACAATATAATGATTTGACTTACATATATTGTCAAGTGATTGCCGCATACATTTAAAAAATATACTGAATCAGTAACTAAAAACATTTTTTGTCTCTCTCCATAAATTATAATTAAAGTGTACAGGTATTTGGCATGTACATATTATATAAATAAATTTAAATTCTTGCTGAAACCGGTTTGGCTCAGTGGATAGAGCATCGGCCTGCAGACTGAAGGGTCCCAGGTTCGATTCCGGTCAAGGGCATGTACCTTGGTTGCGGCCACATCCCCAGTAGGCAAGAGGCAGCTGATCGATGATTCTCTCTCATCGATGTTTCTAACTCTCTATCCCTCTCTCTTCCTCTCTGTAAAAAAATCAAAATATATAAAAAAATAAATTCTTTTAATTTGGCTTTATATAGTATTTCTAAGATTATGTAAACTGTAGTTATTTTTAGTTTTAATGTTGCATATATTACCCCTCAGATTTTAGAAACCACCTAAAATGTGAAATTGAAAAGGATAGTGAAAAATGTCTATAAAACACATTAAAGGTTAAAACAGTGGCTGAGTCCAGTGAAAGGAAGTGATCTTATGAATTAGTAATGAAAGTACACTTACAGGTTAGTGTCTTACTGCGGTCTGGGTTTTAACAGCTGCTGAGAGTTTAAACTGAAATAGAAGTCTGAATAGCCTGTAATAATCAATGAGTATTCATTCTGCTTATGGGTTGTTTCTTAATGGAAACACTGAATAGTGTTGCCTATCTTAAATTATCTCAAAGGTTAGTTATAAAAATGAAATAAGGCAAAGAAATATGTTTTATAAACATTAAATGTGCTCTCGCTCAATCTGTGTGTGTGTGTGTGTACATGTAGGTATAAAATTATAAAATTATGTGTTAAGTTTAGTGAGTAGTAGTTTTAGAAGTTACTTGAAACTTCATTTACATCTCATGAATACAATTTGTGACAACTCAAAGTATATTGGACTGAAAAGTTAAAATTGTGTTATAAGGATGTAGTATTGTAAGAATGTTTAAGTTACATAGGAGGCTAAGAATTTTAGAAGCAGATGATACATAAACAGAGAATGAATTAATATGCCATTTTTATGTGTTATTTAATCAGGTGCAAGGTCCTTTGCTGGTCAAATACTCGTAATACTTTGTTCATTTACTTGTTTTGTCTGTGTGTGCTTGAAAACAAACTTCATTTCCTTAAGACTATTCTAAACTTTATTAATATCTTGGCACTTTCTTCAATTAACTAGAAGGAGGGATGTTCTCCTACAATCAACAACTGATGATGTTAGTTTTAAAACTAATCCAATTAAAGTATACAAAAACAACCTGATTTTGTTTCTAAGCAAAGCACATATATTGTATTTTAGAAACAGCTTTTAAATATTATGTCTGAAGCACTATGTGAGATATGACCATATTATGTTACTCATTAAAATTGCCTTAATAATAATCACATATTTATTTTTCCCATTAATTACATAAATGGGGAAAATACAAAATAAGTGGAATTTGAGTGTCTCTCATTTGTCCTGCACTGTACTACATACTTTGGCGAGATAAAAAGAAATCTCCAAAATCCTGTCCTTGAGGAGCTTATGCTATTTAAGGTGGGATAAGAAAAGTTTTTAAAATGCCAAAGGATGTGATAAAATTTAAAAGTGTTCTAGAATTGAAAAGAATAAATTATAATTTGTGTGAGAGAAGTATGCTACCGGAAGAAATCAGATTTGGTTACAAACTATGACTAGGTCTTTGAATCAAGACCATCTCAGTCCTAGTTCCACTGATCCATTGTTCTGATAAAGAATCAGTGGCAGCCTTGATGGAGCATGGTGTATAACAGATTTGCATTATATTTTCTTCATTTTCAGGCATACTTCCGACAGGGTGTTGCCCTCCAGTACCTCGGACGTCATGCCGATGCCCTGGCAGCGTTCGCATCCGGACTGGCTCAGGACCCCAAGAGTCTCCAGCTTCTGGTGGGGATGGTAGAAGCTGCCATGAAGTCTCCCATGAGAGGTAAGTGTGATCAAAGTACAATATTTGGCCTGACATGAACTTAAAATAGAACATTTCTAGCCTTCAAAATCTTTAGACTCCGGTATTGAGAATTGAAAGGTTATCAGTTTGGCTAAGATTGTATATATTTTTCATTTTAAAAATGTAAAATACCATCTTTATTAAAAACAAAAGTTACACTATGATTTTTATATACTGTTGAAAGCAATGGCCAGCTTGTACATTTGTCTAAAGTCAGTGATAGTTCCCATTTTTCTCTCACAATGTTATAGTTAAACCTTAATTTAGTTCCAGGAAATAAGTAATAGGGTAGATTTTTCATATTTCCCTAGATCTACCTACTGGGAAGAAATTTCAGAGCACAAAGAAGAAATAAAATGACATTTTTAGGTAGTAACAATTTGTTCTTAGAACTTGGTTAAATTTGGCTTTTTCTCAAAATTTTGTGCTCATCTCCATAGAAGTGAATTTCTATTTTAGTAGCCCTAGAGAGATTATATATTGTGGACAAAGGAGATCAAGAATCGCTGTCAGTAGCAGACAGTGAACCAGAATAGAATGGTGTAAGGCTACTGGCCTGGAAGTTTGTGGACCTAGATTACATTTTTGAATTTTGCATTAACTAACTATAGGAGCATGGGCAAATGAATAGACACTTCTTCATTTTAGAGTTATCTGAAGATTCCTCTGGTTTTTGTAGTTCTAAGATAGTCTAAATACCTCTAAATTGTAATACCTCTAGTAGTAAATTGATTTGTTTATTTGGACCAATATACCATCTAGAAATATTCAAGCAAACAAAGACATTAAGTAGACGTTCTAATATAACAGGAATTATGGATCTAACTGTAGGCTGTGTGTATAACATTTTTAAGAGGAGCATTATACGATATGTTGAGTTAAAAAGAAAGAGTCTACCTGGTGTGACTTAGTGGTAGAGTGTTGACCTATGAACCAAGAGGTCACAGTTCAATTCAGGTCAGGGCACATGTCTGGGTTTTGGGCTAGATCCCCAGTGGGGGGCGTGCAGGAGATAGCCAATCAATGATTTTCATCATTGATGTTTCTCTCTCTGAAATCAATACAAATGTTTGTTTTTAAAGGAAAGAGAGAGGGAGAAACTGACGAACACTAATTTAGATGTTTTTCCCCTTGTTATTCTACCTGTGCCAATTGGCATTCTGGAAAAACAATGGATTGAACTAGTGGAGGATGGAGAAGTTCTAAGGTCCAAACAGATTGGCTTCACTTTGAGGAACATTGATTTTTGAGGAATGAGCTCTTAGGAAGATTGGGCTGAAAGTGTACACCAATTGTCATCTTTGCCGAGTGACGGAGACACTAAGGCATATTGATGGCATATAGTGGAAAGCTAGTATTGTTTCATAGAATTGAGATTGTGTCAAGCAGAACTCAATTTTTATCTCCGAAAAGCGATGTTTTTGAATGAACCTAAACATGTAGATGACAGTTTCATTAGACTTTTTTTTTTATAGTTTTGAAAATGTTTGCAGCATTAGATTGTTTTAATATACTGGCTAATACAGTATTTGGCTTAAAATATATGCTAAGTAAAAATTTGATGAACTAAATGTTACTTATATGGTCTCTGGGCAATTCATAGCTATAAAAAACATGTTTTCTGAAAGTCAAAGATTCATGTTTTAGGAAAAAATGTGGCAAGGAAACCTTTTCATGCGATTTTATAACCCCATGCGAAGCTAGTCTTTGCTGCAGGAACCTAATGGCTTCTCCCACTGGGGGACCCGCTGTTAATAAACTCTGACTTAGAGCAGATGCGCTTCAGAGCTCTGGGGCTTAGGGGTGATGTGGGGGAGGTATGGACAAAAAAAAAAAATCAATTTGTCTCCCCTTTCCATTTCTCTAATAGTTTCTCCTTCTCTCCTGTCACCCCTCCACAAGTAATTTACATGGAACATTTTTATTTAGATACCACGTTTATATGGAGATACCACGTTTTTATTCTGAAGCATTTCTGTCGCTGCCTTAGAAGATTGGAGGGAACATGTTGAGATCAGCAGAATCATACTTATTGTTTTGCCTTTGAAGCAATTTGTTTAGATAAATGTAAGGAAATGCTCAGTGCTGCTGTCGGCCTTAGGGCGTTCTGTGCCCTGCTCTGTCCCAGCTTCCACCGAGTGACCCAAGGCTGACCCTGGAGCGAGCTGCAGCGCACAGGTGCCTGGGGCGCTTCAATATTTTCCTCTTCTTCCTTCAGGCAGTTTAATTTCTCTCATTTATTTTTAGCATTGCCTTTATCACTCCGTCTACTCCAGGTGGGCTTTTCTTATCAACGCTTTATAGGGATACCGTTGCTTTTCACAGTGTTGTTCTATGCATCATTTCACATCTTAATGACCTACCTCTCTTTTTGTCATATGGTTGTAATTCGCGAAATCTATCATTATTTGCTGCCCATTTTTTCACCCATTGTCGTGGAGCCCCCTGCAGCTTTCTAAGTTTCTGCCACAGTTGCATAGCGGTGCGGTTGGGTCCCTTTTTGTCTAGGTCTGATCTGTTGTGTCAATTGCTTTTGTTTTGTAATTCTTAAATGCAACACAGACAGCTCCCCAGTCCAGGTGCTTGTGTGTGCAAGCCAAGCTCCCGTGATAGTCCCAGTATTCCTGTGGTTTGGCCTTTTGTCCGAAGTTTCAAGATTTCATTTTTTTTTTTTTTAAAGGTAGAGCCAATCTATATTAAATATGTTATATTTATCCACATTGAAATTTACTTGATATTTTTATATTGTTGCTGTCAATATTGCTAACTGAATTCAGTCTGTTTTTCCTTATTTTTATGGTTTCACTTAGGCTCACTCACCTAAACTACTTCTCCTGTGGTTATATTTACATCATATATTATGTATTTCCTTTAGATCATTAGTGAAAATATAAAAATAACTGTAAATATAAAATGATACTCTTTGTCATGACTTCTCAAGTTACCCTGCTACTGTTTTCCATTTCTCCTTTTTAGCTAGTCTTCCAGCAATTTCACGTCATTGTATTTTGTAAATGGTGCAGCATAGAACTACTGCCGACCACAGATTTAATAATCTAATTACAAATTGAGATTTAGTTTACCTTTATTTGTTCCTTTAAAGATGCCAGGGCTGCTTCTTGCCAAGGGTTCTCTTGTGTATATTTCCTCTCCTCCGTTAATTCGTAATCTAGAGACTATTACATTTATGGGCCATCCCCTGTCACGCTGCTTTTCCCAGCTCCAGAGCATCCAGGGAGGCTGACTTTATGAAGTGCTGGTGGCAAATGGCTGTTGGATGTATAAGCTTTTATCTTGGGGTCAAATTGGGGCTCACCTTTTATCTGCCTACTTGGCCAACCTCCGTGAACTCTTTTAGGAGGCAGTTACTTTTTACAGGAGGCCTCTTTCTGAAATATTATGTAAAAAATACAGACTTCTCCCCCCAAAAGACTGGAATCTAATTTCCGCAATGCCACTTGCTATTCCATTGACTGAGCAAGGCTGCTTACCGTATTTTTCGGACCATAAGACGCACTTTTCCCCCCCCAGAAGTGGGGGGAAAAAGTCCCTGCGTCTTATGGTCCAAATATAGCCTACACATATACTTTAAAAAAAAAGTTTTTTTACTTGCCCAGCTCTGTGTGGTCTCTGTGTGCTTGCCCGGCTCTAAAATGGTTCTAAATGCTGCTGTTTACTTTACAGGGTTGATTACATGTGTTTATGACTGTGATGTTGGGTTTTAATGCACATAAAATATTTTAGGACACTATTTGTTTCAGAATCTTTTTTTCTTCATTTCCCTTCTCTAAAAACTGGTGCGTCTTATGGTCCGGAGCGTCTTATGTGGTCCGAAAAATACGGTACTTCCTGTACACCTCAATCCGCTCTGTAAAAGGGAAATGATCATGTCTACCTCCTCATGTGGTTTTGAGATTCAAGCTGTAGACTGAAAAGGCAGACACCTTTCACCGGTACAGCCCCATCCTCCACAACGGGATGCCCTGCTTCTCACCGAGGACCGGAAGTGGCGGCAGCCATGATCCTGTTCTTGTCTCTGAGGCAGGCGCAGTGCTGAGTGTGAGCTTTCCCCAAGGCCTCAGTTGCAGAAGAGCTGCATTTCTTATGAGTGTTGGGTATTTTCATTTGAAATGTCCGGGAAATTAAGGTGGTCATGTATCCTTTTCCTTTGACCTCTATGAAGTTGGAGCCCAGTGTTGTGGCCACCTTTAGGAACTGCGTTAGGGCTTAGTCTACCTGTGGACTTCTGTGTTTTTCACCTTATTTCTACGGAAAGCCTTTGAATCTTTTCTGAATGAAGTAGGATGTAATAAATAAATACAGAGTAAAATGTGACTGGCTTAGACAAAGTAGGAAACATATCGGTTGTTTTTATTTTTATTTATTTATTTTTTTGAGGAGGGTTAAATTGTGCCTTTTAGTATGAACCAAAGTTTTTTTTATTGTAAAATATATGTAACATAAAATTGACCATTTTCACAACTTTTAGTTATCAAATTCAGTGGCATTAAGTCCGTTTATAGTGTTGTGTAACCATCATAACTATCCATCTCCAGAACTCTTTCATCTCCCCAAATAGACTCTCTGAACTCATTCAACTCTAATTTCCCATTCTGCTCTCCCCACTGCTCCTGGTAATTCTGTGCTGTTTTCTGTCTCCCTGAATTTGACTGCTCTAGGTATCTTACATAAATGGAATCATACAATATTTGTCTTTTTAAATGATTTTTAATTTAATTTCCTCATTTAGGAATTAGCTTGATAAAAATAAAATTAAAATGAGGTGAATGTTTGAACCTTACCTCTAAATTTTATTTTGGGGGGAGTATTTTGCCCTTATCATATTTCATTTCTTACCTTATCAATAGCTGCTGTTCTCTCTTTGCACCCCTGCTCTGGAGATTCATTCCAGGATTATTTCTCCCATTCTTCTGGACTTGCATTCAGTACTATATTTTAGTGTTGTATCCAAGAATAATTGGTAGTAGTTTCACCAGGGTTTTTAGGAAAGTTGAAGCATTTTTAGTCATATATGATAGAGGACTGTTATAAGGATAACTCGGAAAGCTCTAGAATGTTTTATAGAGCCTTAGACAGATTGAAGTCTATAAAAATGTTAGTTACCTTGAATGTGACCCATAGGAGACAGTCCTTTGTATCATTCCTTTGGAATAAGGTATTGTTAAAAATGCATCTTAAATACATTTTTCCTCAAATTCTATAAGAGTTTTTCCTTCTAAAATATCTGAAATTTATCCCTTGCTCTTCATCTGTTTTGTCATTGCAAAGACTTTGTACTTGAAGTAGGCCATAAAGAGGTATGATAAACATTTGTTTCTAGAGCATATTAGAAAATACTGTTTTGTGTATTCTTCTACATTTTCTAATTTTCTTTTGTTTGCTTTTTTCAGACTCCCTCGAGCCCACTTATCAGCAGCTTCAAAAAATGAAACTGGACAAGAGTCCCTTTGTGGTCGTGTCTGTGGTCGGGCAGGAACTCCTGACAGCGGGCCATCACGGGGCCTCTGTGGTTGTCTTAGAAGCTGCTCTGAAGATTGGCACCTGCAGCCTCAAACTGAGAGGCTCTGTGTTCTCTGCCCTGAGCAGCGCTTACTGGTCTCTTGGAAACACAGAGAAGAGCACTGGATACATGCAGCAGGACTTGGATGTAGCCAAGACCTTAGGTAGAGTTTTGCTTCTCTCCTTTGTTTCAGTAGAACACATGTGTCAAACACAAGGCCCGCGGGCCAAATCCGTCCTGCCAGGCCTTGCAATGTGGCCCGCACCACGCTGTCATCACTGCACTCCGCTGCGTTTCCATCACAATGACAGTTTATGACTGTTCAGTAAACCATTCGGCCCACAATTTAGGCTGGATTTTAGATTTTGGCCCCTTCTCTGATTGAGTTCGACACCCCTACAGTAGAAAGAAAATAAGCTGGTTAACCTGGCATAAGTGGGAGTGACATGTGCCATGAAAAGTGAGTGTCTCCTGAACATTCTCCATTTAGGGTTCTTAGGTCTTTAGAGCTTTTGGTACAACAGGTACCAAGGTTCCAAAAGGCCAAGAGATGTGAACTAACCTATTCATTGCCCTCCTCAGAGATTTGGGTCCACAGATACAATATCCCAAATGGTACTACTGGTGGGTGAATCTTTCATGTTAATTTTAATTTTTGCCTACATTAGAGTATGTCATCATTTCATTGGTGGAGTCAATACAGTGCAGTGGTTAAGAGAGTGGACAGTGGAGCCAGACTGCTTTGTTTAGAATCCTGGCTTTGCTACTTACGAGCAGGTTGACCTTCAGCAAGTGGCCTAAGCTCTCTGTGCTGCCATTTCATTTGTAAAATAAGTGTGGCTTATGATTACGATTATTGTTTTTGTGATTATTCAATGACTTGCAGGATTGCAGTAAAAGCAGGGATATGGTGACTCTACCATTAGTATACTTGATATGGTGACTCTACCATTAGCAGTCTTGTAAAGAAGCAATATGGTAGAGAAGGTTTGGAGTCAAATGACTGCACCAACAAGCTGATGGTTGTTCAGAACCAGAAATCATTAGCAGAGCAGTGAAGTGACTCAAATAGCAGCTGGTTTGTGTCAAGGTCTTTAACCTCTCATTTCCAGGACACTTATGTCCATGACAACAGTTGTATGACAGCGATAATAGTTGTTAGCCAGGGACGTAAATTCTAGGACCATAACCTCCCACAAAGAGTCTTATAGAAGAAAATAGTTCCTCTAAGAAGGCAAGTGAAATCTTAGCTAATAGGTCTGTGGCTCTTAAATTAAGCTGGCCAATATATATTAAAATAATGCTATAACTAAAAGAAGCTTTTTATTTTTTTAAATCCAACCAGGTGACCAGACAGGAGAATGCCGAGCTCATGGGAATCTCGGCTCTGCATTCTTCTCCAAAGGAAATTACCGGGAGGCGCTCACTAACCACCGGCACCAGTTGGTGCTCGCCATGAAACTCAAGGATCGAGAGGTAGGAAGTTCGCCTGTAGACCAAAACCTTTTTCTAAAACTGGGAGTCAGTACCTTAAAATATTACTTTCAGAAGTGAATAATTATTGCTTCTATCTTTCTTTTTTATTTTTATTGATTTTTTATAGAGAGGAGAGAGGGATAGAGAGCTAGAAACGTCGATGAGAGAGAAACTCTTGCCTCTTGCACACCCCCTACTGGGGATGTGCCCACAACCAATGTACATGCCCTTGACCGGAATCGAACCCTGGACCTTTCAGTCCGCAGACTGACGCTCTATCACTGAGCCAAACCGGTTTCGGCCGCTTCTATCTTTCATCATCAACCAGGTTTTGGACATTATCATGTATTGTCCTTGGGATATAGAGATAAATAAGACATGGTCCCTGACCTCAGGACCTAACAGCTTGGCCAAATGCCTTATTCTTATGCTATTCAAATGTGCTGTGGAGTAGATATATGTAAAATTAGCAAAAATATATATCGTCATGATATTATACATTTATTAATTTAAAGAAGCACACATTTCTCTTTATTTGAGATGGAGTATTATTACTGCAAACCCTTAGCATAGTTTCTTAGGTGGATTTTTAACTCAGATGATAGATGCATATTAAGTCTGATCGAGAGACCTGAATTGTAATGATAAAGAAATATCATCCTAGTCTTTATTAGAGAAAGGAAATGTAATACTCTCAGGCACTTGATATCTAGTAGATGTGACATGATGAGAAAGTGCCTACGGAGTGGAAAGAGGTGGGGGGTTTGAGTGAGATAGATCCAAATTTGAATTCCTGCTCTAGTGCTTTCCAGTCTGGTGCAATAGAAATCTGAGTATAACTTTTGACTCCCCCAAAACTTAACTCTAGCGGCGCCTCAGTATCCACGGGGGATTGGTTTCAGCACCACTCACTGCAACCCTGGTGTGGATGCTTAAGTCTCTACATAAAACGGTATAGGAACCGCATACAGCCAGCTCGCCCCACCCAGGGGTTGAGAAAGACAGTATTTTCCATCTGTGGTTGGTTGAATCCATCGATGTGAAACCCAGGGAGGCTGAGTGCTGCCTGTACTTCTATTGAAAAAACCCACATGTATGTGGGCCCACAAAATCTACATCCAGGCTGTTCAAGGCTCGGCTCTATTTTGCTATTGAAATGAAATACGGGAAACTGCCTTTTGAAATAAAAATTAACCACTGTGCATACCATGACTGGTGAGAATACCAAGCTGCATCTTTCTGCCTCTTACATCTTTGGCTACAATGCCTTTAAAATTTTTTCCCAAGTAGCAAGATGGCAGCCTGAAAACACTTTGTCTACTTACCTGAAAGAACATTATGCATGTTGTTGTTTTTTAATACGATTACTCAGATACATAATAGGGGAAGTGATACCTTCTCCATAGGATTTTTTATTCTTACTTTCTATCTGCTTTAAAGGCTTCAAAATTAATTTCAGGTGTCCATGGAGACCTCCCTGTGAGCTAATATTAATTGTCAGAAGAATACATAAATTATCTTGTACTAGAGACTTTCTCTATTCAGGGAATCTGATATGCAAATATGCTGATGATTGAAGTTTTTTTGTTTTGTTTTTTTTAATCAGTCTGATTTCTCTCCTGAGCTTCATATTTTTTTATTCAACTGCTTCCTGGACCCTCACCTTCAATCCAGTGTTCTTGATCTAGTCCTCAATCTGTACCCACTTCTATATTCACCCTTGTTCTATTGACCCCACTACCTCACTCTCATGTTTGTTTTGTTACTGCATTCCCTTTTTTTCTATAATAGAAATCTCTTTTCTGGTTCTTTCCTTCTGCCATCTTTTCCCTGGACATTGGCAGTAAGTAGCTTTCTCTCAGAACTTTTCACACTTTTAAAAACTCTTCTACAAGCAAGGGAGAGATGGTGTCTACTATTTGGGACTATGAGAGTACCTTGAAATTGCTGCCAAAAGTAATTTATTTCAACTGGTTGAGAATGTGAACTTAGATATTAGACAGACCTGGACTTGAACTTTGGCTTGGCTACTTGGTAATGTGTGACCCTTAAAATTACATAACTCTTCTTAGTGTCATGAACATGTGAGTTGTTTTCAATTTTTTGCTATTATGGAAAAGCTGTTATAAACATTCATTCATTTATCCATTTACTCAACATATATTTACTGGGTGTTTACTGTGCTTCAGGTGCTATAATGACTTTGAGGAGAAAGATGAATATGCCATGCCCTAGCCAGTTTGGCTCAGTGGATAGAGCGTCAGCCTATGGACCAAAGAGTCCCAGGTTCGATTCTGGTCAAGGGCGCATACCTTGGTTGCAGGCTCCTTCCCGGCGGGGGGGACAGGTCAGGGCTTGTGCAGGAGGCAACCAATCAATGTGTTTCTCTCACATCGATGTTTCTCTCTGTCTTTCCCTCTCTCCTAAAAATAAATGGAAAAATGTCCTCGAGAGAGGATTAACAATAACAACAAAAAGGATGAATATGCCATTGTTCTTGCCCTCAAGGAGCTCAAATCTTCTGGCAGACCTCCTGGAGTGGTCCAGGCCAGTGTTGATAAATGCTCTGGGGCCTGGAGGTACAGCATTGCGGGCTTACTGTGGGTAAAGAGGCTCGCCCCTCCTTCCTTCTTATGAATGGTGGTCTTTGTGTTACTCAGAGCTGAGGGAGAAGTTTATGAAGCCCAGTAGTAAGCGTCAACAAGCTTGCCCCTTCCCCCCTTTTTTTTTGCACTTACTTTGCTGTCAGTAACTAAAATCTAAAATTTACATTTAATATTCTAATAATGTCTCCAACATAAAGACCTTTTAAAATGAAAAATCATTTGTTGTGATAGTGAAAATGAAAGGTAAATCATAATCATTATCAATTTTTGATGCCTGTATGTTTACAGGAACAGTTACTGACCCCCCCAAAAAAGACTACTTGACTTTGTGAGAAAACTGAGCCTCCTGGATTTTCCTTAGGATGTGGCTACAGGAAATTCATTAGATGGTTTTCGATGACATCATCCTGACCATAGCACTTTCTCCAAAAGCAATCCTATTTTTCTTGGACCTTTTTGCAGACATTTTCTACACCGTGTATATTAATATATTAGTAGTGCTAATATGAAATCCACACAAAGGTTTATGGGGTGTGTGTGTGAGAGAAAGACAAGAGAGACAGAAGCAGAGAGAAGGAATGTAGTGAGATGATTGTTTTACTTCCAGCAGTACAGGAGAGTGGGATAAAGGGTAAAAAGCACTCCATTTTATCTGAGAACCAGGTTCGAACGGCGAGGATTAAGTTCAGGAAGGGAATGGTTGACAACCTCTTCAGTGGTGTGTATCATAGGCTTTTGAGAAACAAATAAGATTGTTAACCGTAACGAAAGTAGACATTGTGAAGAATGGAGATAGGCTGTCAGCTGTTATGCTCTTAGTATTGTGTGTTATAAGTCAGTTGAGGCAGACCTTTTGGGCCTGTAATGGATAATGGAGTGCTCTCTTTCTCCTACTGATAAAGTAGTTATTACTTCAAAAGAACTTGCACCCCTGGTGAATGTGTGTGTGTGTGTGTGTGTGTGTGTGTGTGTGCGCATTCGTGGCGCCCCCCCCCCCCCCCTTATCTGTGGGTTTATTTTCCATGGCTTCTTTAACTGTAGTCAACTGCGGTCCACAAATATTAAATGGAAAATTCCAGAAATAAGCAATTAATAAGTTTTAAATGCATGCCATTCTGAGTAGTGTGGTGAAATCCAGAGCAAGTATTTGCATTTCAGGAATGGATTTTTAGATAGTTTGATATACTTCAGTAATTTTCCAGAGAAACGGGCTCCCTGGGCTATACGAAAAGCCTTTTGCATGATAATGCATGCGGTATCATTATTAGGGACTGAACTGAACCAAGAGCTTGCTAAGAGAGTTGAGCATAAAGAATCAAAATGAAAGGACTCAGAAACAGATAAAATCTGACATATTGAGATTGCAGCATTATTTAAGGTCTTGAGTGCTATTGCTCCCGAAGGTACTGATGACAATCTGCAATGCTCAGATGCTGTCATTACACTGTGATGGCTGGCAGGCTGCCCTGACGGAACAGCTTCTGGATTAACTTACATTCTCTTGACTTTTAACTTGGGACTTAACTCTTCTGGAGACCATGGAAACTTGGAGAAACTGTAGCAAATTGTTGGTATTCCTATTTTATAGATGATAAAACTAAGGCTTAAAGAGGGATGGGCTTTAGGCCACACAGTGTGTAAGTGTCAGGATCACGTTTTGGAAAACAAGATGAAATATATTCTACTTGCTACTTGGAATAGAATTTTTGGTACAGACCATTAATCCTTGCTGAAATGAAGCCAATGTGTGTCCAGTTTTTAAAAAGATAATTTCCACAACACAAGCAGCAACAAAAAACATACTTTCCTACAGTCCATTTTAATTTTGTAAGGACATCACTGAGGCTTGTTTAATTTTATGTCATTGTGGGCGAGAACAATTAAAATCTGATGAGAATAGATTGTAAGGACAATGCCTTTCCCATCTATTGCTACAGATGATACAAATTAGAAATCCTTTCTTATTTTCAATTTTAGTTCACTATAAAAAAAAACACCAGTCTGTTTTCAAAGTAGTAATCAGAATCTTTTATTCTTCCTGAATAAAAGCACTTTCCTCTAATTACCATAAAACTTGTATGGATTTCAAAGTTCTTCTTTTTTCCAGAGAAATTACATCCCAAAGAAATGATAGCTGAATTGCTTATTGCTTTCATTCCTTAATCCACGTTCTCTGCCAACTCACTAACCAGGTGTCCACTGGTTTCTGGGAGTTTGTTCGTGTGTATCTTTGCGCCTTTTCTGGAAGAGAGAGATTGAGAGTGCCATGAGTCTTCTAAATTTTACCTGAACTTTCAATCTCTGCTAACTCTTTACTATTTAATCAGTTGGTTTAATTAACTGATGCTATTTAGAATTTGTAATAATTGATTGAACCTACATTTTTACTTTCTA